TCTCGCGGACCCCAACCAGGTAGTCGACAACTACCGACATGGCTCAGTCCACTCGTCAATGACTTCATGGATTTCAGCCATGTTTTGGTTTTGCCGCCCCTAACTTTCTTCCAACCTATCCCTACACTATAAAACAACGTTCGCCGACGCAGTCGGTGGTTAGGCATACGCAGTACATGTCCCAACCACCTCAACTGATAAAGTTTCACCACTTCATCTATTGATCTGCCATTCTTACCTAGCACCCGTTCCCTAATAACAGCGTTGCTCACTCGGTAGTCCCGCGATATACGAGCAATGCTTCGAAGACACCTATGATCGAAAACCAGTACCGTACGAATATCTTCTACTCTGACTGGCTATGTTTTACAGTCAGTGGTAGTAATGAAGATGAAATATAGTTTAAAGGAAATCAATATTCAAAATTTGGAATGACTTTGTGATATAGTGTCTTATCGAAGACAGTCGATGAATCTTAGCTCGATAACAACCCTTTTTTCAGCCTTATCTCATAAGGACTCTAAATTTAGATCTCAGATCCAAAGTTTGCACTTTGGTGATAGATAGTAAGAAGCTTGTGTCAGTTCTTTTCTCACGAGCTTCTTTGCTTACTTAATTTCTTGAATGATGGACTCGCTGAATATATATACACCATTTCTTCCAGTAGTTAAATTCAAGTGATTACTTGGTGAAATAAGAAACATACATCCATTATGGAACTGGTTCATTCTTGATCGTTAAATTCTCTTACTATGCTTTTCAAGCTGTCCTGATGTAGATAAGAGATATAAAGATTATGCCTCAAAGTCATTCTATGCATCTAAAATGACTTCCCTTTTTATTTCCACGGTAATAAAGTCAAAAAATATCAAGCCATTCAAAGTACATTAATCCATATAACTTCAGAATATTTTCTACTTATATTCTTTTGTACTTTTTCTGTGTCTCCTTCTAAACAAGAGTTTACAACCTGTACATATAATTACATAAAGTATGGTAAATGAATTTGTACTTAAGATGGTAAATATTGGTGTGTTAACTTTCATATAGTTTTAGCTATGACTAAGCAGCAAAGAGCTTGTCGTCTTAAGGTCATTATGTACTATGATTCTTAAATCATCATCATTGGTTAAGAATGTAGAGGCGGAAGTTTCTCTGAATTTGTAGTTATTGCCATTTGTCCATTGTGCATGGTAACTTAGTTGCACTAATCGTAACTTACGTCCAGCTAACCGCGACGAGCTATGTTTTGTGGTAAAGGAGTAAGTTGGAAGAAAGTTAGGGGCGGCCAAACCAAAACATGGTAGAATTCCATGAAATCACTGACAAGTGGACTGAGTCATGTTGGTAGATGTAGACTACCTGGTTGGGGTCCGCGAGACGAGAGTTACCTATGGTTAGAGACCTTGAACGTCATTGCTCAGAATCGTTTGCGATGGCGCAGGTGCATCCACTCTTTGTGTCCTTTTTAATTCTAACCTTCTGAATTCCGCACAATCTCTATCTTTCTCCTTCTAAATTTATCTCACTGAATTATACTTTTTGAATCATGTTTTCGCTTCCTAATCTTCTCCATTACTGCTAATACTTCTACTATCGCTATCACTCTTGGATTTGAACTGACAGTTGCGTCTCTGTGCTGATGTGATGTGGCAACATGAATTTATGTAGGTACGTATGAAGTTCTACCTCGTAAATGACTAACTGAGCATTATAAATGTAAGCTCATTAACATAGAAAATTAACAATGGGCCCTGAAGTACTCTACTAAGTGTTGGTGTCCAAGTAGGAACCTTACAGTTAATGTAGACTTTCTGTAGGCGACTAAATAAAGCGTCTTTAAACCGTTTGAACAAGTATCCGGATATTCTTGAACTCTCGAAACCCCACTTCTGCTTCCCCTGACATCGCTGGTGTAGATATAACATTAAGTTCTAAGGCAGAACTAGTTCTCTTAGACTGGATTTCAGTAGATATTCTCTTATGCGCTGTCCGACAGAACAGGCCAGTGAAGATTCAGAAGGATGGACACTTGCCGTTGCGTTTTCGTTATCTCTGTCTACACCCCCCTACTGACTGTAGCTCGAATGAGGTAAAAGATGAGTTCTACAGAAAGCTTTCGGAACTTCTTGAAAAGGTTAAGCGCTCTCATATAGTAATGACGGCTAGTGACTTTAATGCTCAAGTAGGAAGACTAAGTGTAAAGGAAAGACACCCGGGTGGATCTTTTGGTGTCGCGGCTCAAAGAACAAATAATGGCGACTGTCTGCTGCAACTATGCTCAGATAACTGCCTATTTTTAAAAAATACTAATATTAAGCTTAAGGATATCAAAGCCAAGATTATATTTCAGGAACAAATAGGAAAACAGTTAGACAGCCCTGTAAATGAAACCACCCCGAGCAGCTTGGAATAAGATCCAAAAAGCTGTAGAAACATCATTAGTATCTGCCAGTAAGGTAAACCATAAGGTTAGGCGGAAGCAGTTGATATCACTATCATCTACTGAACTGATGTATACTCGAAAGCTCCTCCCATCCGGCTCTGAGCATGATGAGAGGCGAAGCAAGCTTAACCTCAGGCTAATAAGAAGCCTACGCAATGATCGTGAGCAGTGGTTGGTAGCGAAAGCAAGAGAGAGATAAAAGGCTGTGGGCAATAGGTAAAAGTAGACAGCCATTCAGATTTATAATATATTTCACTGGTAGTTAAACTATCGCGAAAAACTATGGGCCTGTTATTCACTTTAAACCCAGGAGATTGGATTAATGGGCAGAACTCTTTAGGGAGCAGTTCAAGTAGCCTCCAGCCACACTTCAGCTACTCACGATCTCTAGTCAACCTGAATGGCAAGCTAATGTAAACCTTCCGACTTGTAACGAAGTTGGAAAAGCTATGTAAGAGTCCTCTTGTGACAATCACCGAAAAATCAGTTTTACTAATATAGAATCTAAGATACTGGCACCAATAGTACTTAAACACCTAACTAGAGCTCGTAAAGTGCAGACTGGAGAAAACAAAATTGGTTTCAGACCTGGACGTGGATGTGTAAACCAAATATTCACACCTCAGGTCCCAGAATACAGAAACACATTCAGCGTCCGATAATAATTGTATTCGCGGACCGTGAGGCGGCGTTTGACTATCGATCGGAAGGTTCTGTGACAGTATCTATCATTAAAAGGTGTAGCAAAGGAGTACATTAATCTTATACAGGCTCTTTACTCGAACACTACTGGCTTCATCTGACTCTGTAGGAGTTGGACTTCTTTCAGGGAACTCGCTTCTTCACTTTGAATATGCCGATGACATAGTTTTACTTGATGAAGACGCTAAAAAAATACAAAGTTCTCTGAACACGTTAACCAGCATTACAAGCATGTTCGGGATGCGATTTTCCACTTCCGAATGTAAAATGTTGCTTCAAGATTGTCTTGCATCTGCACCTGAACTAATAATAGGTAGTCTTATCACTGCTGATGATTGACAAAATCTCAGCGCGTATACAGAAGGCTCAACTGTTTTTTTGCCAACTTATGGCGTCTACTAACCAACGAACGAGTCTACTGCGCATCAGTTCGCTCCGTCCTAAAATATTTCTGTAAAACATGACCATTGAGAGTAGAGGATATTCTTAGGTTACCGGTATTCAAACATAGGTGTCTTAGAAGCATTGCTCGTATATCCTAGGAAAATTGGACAAGCAGTGCTGTTGTTAGAAAACGGGTACTAGGGAGGTCAGTCAGTGACAACGTAGAACTTCGTGCGGATGCACATTAGTTCAGGTTACCATACCACATTCGCACAGAGACGCGATTGTCAGTTCAAATCCCATAGTGGTGCAGACAGTAGAAGTATTAGCGGTAATGGAGAAGATTAGGGATCGGAAGAATTATTCAAAAAGTATAATTCAATGAGTTAAATTTAAAAAGAGAAAGATAGAAATGATGATGGATTCAGAAGATTAGAATTTGAGAGAACACAAAGAGTCGTTCAAGGGTTACTATCGTCTCACGGACCTCAACCAATTAGTCTACTCTTACCGACATGACTCAATCTAGTTGTCAGTGACTTCATGAACAAAAACCAATAACCGACGAATATCTTCTACTCTCACTGGCCATGTTTCACAGCCATAAAGTAAGACGGAGCGAACTACTGCGCAGTACACTCGCCCTTTAGTCAGCAAACGGATATCTCGCCTACGCCATAAGTGACGCAACTTGGCAAAAGCCAATTGAGCCTTCTCTATCCGAGCTGACATTTCGTCAGTCATCAGGCAATCAGCACTGATGAGACTCCCAAGATAAGTGAAGCGGTCTACACGTTCGACTACTTCACTCCCTATCAGTAGTTCAGGTGCCGATGTAACCCAATCTTCCATTTCTTAATAGTTCATTTCAATATTACATATATATATAAACTACATTACGTACATTTTATTCTTTGAAAAATAACAATATACTACTTACTTCATTTCTAATGTATACTTATTGACAATTGATTAAGTACGGCGCGAAAACGGTACACTTTATAATATTTATATATATATATATATATGTGCTGATCTAAGCACGTGATGACTTCTATCTATTTATATATATGAATATGATGTATTTTTGTATTTTTGCAAACTATGCAATATAAAAATATATGCATACTCTACAATTCAACGTTCAATTAATTAATTATCTACTACTAATCTACCTACTTAATTAATTTGATTGAATCATTTTCCAATGAGCCAATCATATTGTTTACATAGTAAGTACTGGCGCGATTTATCTACAATATAATTCCTTTTTTGGTTCTTCTTATTGTTACTGCTGTTTGTTTGTCAAAAAAAAGTGCAAATCTCATTATCTATCTCATCAACGTAGTGAACACGTACACACACACACACCGACACACGCCATAGTCACAAGATGCACTAACTATGTCATGATATATATGTAAAAGAAATAGGTATATATATCTCTATATTATAAATTGCTAAATTTTTTTTGCGTGTGTTCAATATTCAATAATTCAATTTGTTCAATTTTCAATTTGTTATTTTTAATTGTGGATAGATAGATATTTTTTTATAAATTATGCTCATTATTACTTACTTACTTATTATCTATGATATGATTTCAATTGACTCTGAGTGTGTCTTATCTCAACGCAGTGTTTTGCGTTGTTGATCTAATTTATCAAAAATATCCCATTATTTCTGAAGTAATAGAAGAAGACCGCAAAGCATTAAAAACGTGTTCCATTCAGTGTTTTATGTGCATGTAGGTTGGTTGGCTATTGTTTGATTTGAGTTTTGTACAAATAAATCAATAATTACTATGTTTTGACTTATATGATTAATTAATTTACTTGTTCACTTACATACTACTTACTCACTTACTTACTATACTACTTACTACTTACTACTACTACCTAACTAACCGAATACATGGATTATTTGCCTAATATAAAATTATTATCACGACTTTTTAGCGGTAATCGTTTATGCAGCAAAACATTCAAACCACGTAAAAACAGTTCGGATATTAATCAAACCAACAACAACAACAATACTACTAATAATACTACTAATAGTAGTAATAATAATAATAATACAAGTACTGCTAATCCAACTACTACTACTACTAATAATACTACTGAAAATCATCATCATCAGCATCATCATCAATGCAACATCAATGATAATAAACATCAACACCAACAATATGATATGCTACCAGAAACTGCTGCAACATTAGGCAGTGGAGATCTAAGATTGGCAGTACGTTTACCAGAAGGTGAAGATTTACATGAATGGATTGCAATTAATAGTAAGTTGAAATAGATATTGTGTTTTAAATGTTGTGTTATGACTTGATAAATATTATACGTTTGTTGTGAATTACTTACTTACTGAAGCCTGTTATAGCCCTCGATGGAGCATAAGTGATCTGGTTCGTTGAATGTTTCATTGATTATGGGCAGCCAAATTAGACACATGGTTAGTGAGCTGAATCGTGTTAGTAGATATAACGTTACCTGGTTATGATCCATGCATCGCTTACCACTTACGTTAGAGTAGAAGATATTCGTAGGTTATTGGTTTTCGATCATAGGTGTCTTCGAAGCATTGCTGGTATATCCTGTGACAGCCGAGTGAGCAACGCTGTTATTAGGAAACGGGTACTAGTTAAAAATGGCAGATCAATCGATGAAGTAATGAAACTTCATCAGTTGAGGTGGTTGGGACATGTGTTACGAATGCCTAACCACCGACTGCCTCGACGAGTAATGTTTTATAGTGTAGGAATATGTTGGAAGAAAGTTAGTGGCGGCCAAACCAAAACATGGCAGAAATCCATGAAGTCATTGACAAGTGGACTTAGCCATGTCGGTAGTTGTTGACTACCTGGTTGGGGTCCGCGAGATGATAATGATCAATGGTTAGCGACCTTGAATGATATGGCTCAAAACCGTTTACAATGGCGCCGGTGCATTTATTCTATGTGTTCTCTCAAATCCTAATCTTCTGGATTCTTCAACCCCTCTAGATTTGACTTTCTAAACTTTTCTTACTGAATCATACTTCTTGAATAATATCTTCTAATCCTAACCTCTTCGATTACTTCTAATACCTTTACTACCTCTTCTACTATTGGATTTGAATTGACAATTATATTTCTGTGCTGATGTGGTATGGCAACATGAACTGATGTACTTACGTACGAAGTTCTACGTTGCTTCTGACTGACTACCACTTACGTCTGTTACCCCTCGTGATGCAGAGTAGGCCACCGACTAGCATTTTTCCAATCTACTCTGTGCCTGGATCTTCCTTTCTAGTTCTGTCCAATTGTCATTCATTCTTCTCATGTCTGTCTCCATTTCTCGGCGTAATGTGTGTTCTTTGGTCGTCCTCTTTTCCTTTGGTCTTGAGGATTTCAATTGGGGTTTGGCGTGCCCTGTGATACATTCGGATGCTTTCCTCTATGTGTTTCCTATCCACTTCAAACGCTTCTTGATTTCTTCCTCAACTGAAGGAATCTGGTTTGTTTTGTCCCTCAATAGGTTGTTACTGATAGTATCATCTGGCTAACGGATCTGAAGAATTTTGCATAGATAACTGTTAACGAATACTTGTATCTTTTCCAAATTTTCACCGCACACTAGATCTGTATTGATGTTTGCATTGACAATTCTAACTTTTATGTTGGTTGATAGTTGTTTTGAGTTGCAGATGTTGTTCAACTGTAGAGATTCTGCCCCTGTTTTACCGATCCGCGTCATCATAGTTACGTCAGATCCACCTTGCTTAGTAATAATGCTGCATATGTATTTAAAGGTTTTTACGTCTTCCATAGCTTCTGCGTCAAATGTGATTTGGTTGGCGTATGTCGTGTTGCATCGCAGAATCTTGCTTTTCCTTTTGTGTATATCGAGACTTAATGCGGCTGAGGCTGCTGCCAGACTGGTTGTCTTCTCTTGCATTTGTTATTGTGTGTGCGATAGAAGAACCACATCATCTGCGAATTCCAGGTCGTCCATCTGCATCTTTGCCGTCCATCGGATACCGTGCTTCCCTCCAGACGTTGACGTCTTCATAATCCAGTCGATCACCTGTAGAAAGAGAATGGATGAGAGTAAGCAACCTTACTTGACACCGGTCTTCTCTTCGGGAGAGTCTCTGAGCTGTCCACCGTGCACGATTTTTATAGTTTAGTCTATCATAAGAATTCCATATAATGTTGACTATCTTCTCAGGCACGCCATTGTGTCGAAGAATCCTCTATAGTATTCATCCTGTCCACGCTATCAAATGCTTTCTCATAGTCAGTGATGAAGTCCATTCAGTTGATCCATAATGTTGGTCGGTACACGATCAATTCTTATGGTCCATGGGATGATCGTAATTCATTAGTGTTTTGAAGCAAATATGAGTCACTCTTTAGCATCGTCTTACAATTCCAATCTTCTGTCAAGCGCACTTTGATTCTTGAATTACATTCCCAGTGTTTAGTCTTTCTCGTTATAACCATCGATCAATTTCCTCTCTTTCTCTTCTAATATTTAGCACTGAGGTTAACTTAACAAATTCTTGTATAATGATGAATGGTTAGGCTTTTGTGAATGCATCTTGTCAGTTGACCAATTCGGTCTCGTCTGTTTTAACGGGTATGAGGGCGGTTGTCACCTCTCAGCAGCTACCCACTCTGTGGAAGCGTGTTTCTTGAGGAACCTGAAAAGGAAGTTGGACTGGTGTTGGTCTTCACTAGCTGGAAGCGTGACTGCAACTGTTTGAGTGTTAGCTCCGTTCTTGTTTAAAAGGCCTTACCACTGGAGACGGAAGTCCGTGAGTTAAGGTGAGGTGTGACATTTTTTGGGTCAACCTTTTCTAACTCCATCCCTCCTTTTTGAGAAGGCAGTATCGCTGCAGATACTGGTTGTCTGAGGGGAACATCTTACTGCTCTCACACTCTTCTACAGTCAGCAATAGGACTTCGCCCTTAGACCTCGAATTGCTGGTTTTAGTCTTAACGTTCTCCAATCGACCTGTCTGGCAAAGAACATATGTAGCAGCTCTGTTGGATCATCACAATAGACAAGCCCGACCATCACCACGTCATGGTAGCAACTATGTTCGGTTGAAGTTCCTATAGTACAATGAAATGAACATCTATGTATTATAAATTGTAATGTAACGTAACTAGATAAAATATACACGTAAATTTTGAAGAAAACATAGTCTATTTACAGCTTATCTGGCCTTCTGTCCACTCTCCTAATCACGTTGTATACATCAATCACTTGTCATTTTTCTCTTTGATAGCTCAACTTCTAGGCGACGTATCGCCGCTGCGTAGCCGGATGAGTAGCATCGTCAATTTAATCTCTCGCTCGCTCGCACATGCATGCATATGAATTGAGTTAGATTTGACCTAAAAACTCTTTCTTATGTATTATTCTACAAGTTTAACCAATCAAAACACGTTTCAATTAATCAATGATGTTGAAATTGATGTAGGTTCAGTTTTTAAGGGATTCTACCCCTGACTTTCAGGTCTTATATGGTCAAAAAAATGAAAATTTCGGAAACGCAAAAAAATCATTGCCCGACATGGGACAAAGGCTAATCGAAGTGTTTGGGCCTATTTACATCAAGCTAGACTGCATCTTCTACTATCCTACGCCATATATGTGTACACCATATGCTATACTGCTATATAGAGCTGAAGCTCTCCCCTATGAGACTAGAGGTTCGCTATGAATATTGTGGATGGCTTGGCTTTGCTTTGGTAAGGATTGTTAACAGTCTATATACAAAATTGGTTAGCAGGGTGACCGATTTCATTGATATATGTGGTTGTTTTGCGACATTCCCAAGGGACATTGTCATCAGGGTGCTGTTTTGCAGCATATCACCATTGCTAATAATAATGAGTTTTACAGTCATGTAAGCGGGATGAGTCGAAATGGCCTGAGTTCATCCGGTGCATATTGATTGACGCGATCATGGATCAGAAATATATATATATATATATATACCAGTGTGTATATATATAAATGGTTTGAATGGTCCACCAGGGTATCAAGTACCTGTGTGTTAGTTGTACCACACGGTTGAGCCGAACTGTTCATGTAGTAATGGTAAAACGTGTCCAGTCTCTTTGGTTCTCCTGCAAAACCAATATAAAATTGCCTTTGACAATATACAGGGTAAATTTATATCATTGTGAAGTCTTGTATTGATGACATTGCTCATTATTATGAGCACACCTGTCCTGATAAAGTTTCAATACTTTATCAACTGATTTGCTATCCTTACCTTGTACCCCGTCTTCTAACACTAACATTGCTTACTCGATTGCCTCAAGGTATACGAGCAATGTATCAAAGACACCTATGGTCGAATACTAGTAACCTACAAATATCCTCTATTGGATAGGCTTCAGTATGCTTTCCATAACGCACACACCGTCCACCATAATATAACTCAAGCCTGTTACCCCTAATAAGAGAGAGAGCATAGGCCGCCGAACAGCTTTTTCTGGTTAGAGTTTATTTTAGTGATTTGGTTTTCTATGGGATGGGGTCGCTAACCCCATGCTCAAACCTTCCACTTTATCCGGGCTTGGGACCGACAGTAACCGTAGAAAGGGCTCCAGGCGGAGTAATAACACTAATACATACTATTTTCTGTTAGAGTAATGGAGATTATTGTGTTTTTACACATTTGAAATCATCAATCAATCATTGTTAGACAGAGCACCATTAGAAACCTGGAAGCACTGTTTAGACGGTCGTTGCGTCCTGGTATGGAACTCATCAGCCAGTGCTTCCAGGTTTCTAATGGGGTGGTGGTCTAACAATGATTGATTGATGATTTCAAATACGTACTATCTTAAATTAAATTAATTCGTAAGTGAAGTGTACTTTTACCCGTTTTCCTAAACTTATTCATAATTTACGGAATAATAAAGTGAAGAAAATTTTGATTTGTATAAGTTTGAATCGCTTTGTTATTGATATGTTCAAGATTTATATTGAATCTCTCTCTTTTGATGTATTGTATGTCGTAAATTAGAGTACTTCGATATAACTAGCTGCTATTATTCACAGGAGGCTCATTTCTTCTTATTTGGAACATGTTAGTCAGTCAGTTACAACGCAGGTTCAGGTTGTCATACCAAATTATCACAGAGACGCAACTGTCAGTTCAAATCCAATAGTGGTAGATATAGTAGAAGTATAAGCAGTAATGGAGAAGATTATGGTTCAAAGATACTATTCAAGAAGTATACTTCAGTGAGATATCTTTAGAAAGAAATTGATA